GTCTCTTGTGCTAAGGTAGGGCGCTATTCGATGAAGAAAAGAAAGTTTTGGAAAGTGGTTCAGGTAGCTCAGTTGGTTAGAGCAAAGGACTGAAAATCCTTGTGTCAGTGGTTCGAATCCACTTCTAAGCGGCCGAAGGTTTAGACACGTAGACGGAAGAAAAGCGGATTTTTCAATTCAAGTTTAAGAGTCAGCCAGTTCGATCTGATTGGGGAGACCTCCTGCACTATACGGCTTTTTAGCGTCCCCCTATCTTGTCTTCCTGGAGGCAGATTTTTTAAAAAAAGCGGTTGATTAAACGCATTGGTTCTCCCATCCCTGTGCCTCGAATGAACCAGTAGCAGTAGAGTTCGCTTTCAGTCTTCATCTTTCGGGTCGATCTATATGCTCCGGGGTGGTGAGACTTGACTACAAGGTTTGAAGATGCTCTTAGTTGCCAGGAGCCGTAGGGCCACTCTATACGGTCAATTGGTATTCACTCCAGAGCGGGGGCTTACTTTTCCGTTACTCCAGAGCCCTCAGTACGAGTTCCTGTAGCAGTAGAGCCTTGACCTCTTTCTTTCTAACCGGCTAGCCTTTTCAGGGCGGTTGATGCAATCCTACTGTGAGGGAGCTAAGGGCAAGTAAACGGTTGAAGCAAAGTGGAACTATCAGTAGGTGAAAAAAAGTAGCTGATTGAAGTCAAAGAAGGATATGGGTCGGAATACTTGCTTGAAAGCCGGTCGGTAGCCTTTTCTGTTGACTGAGTCGGGGAAGAGGAATACAGTCAGTCGGGCGTAGGTGATAAGGAGTCGGAGTCTGTGTCGTTCCTTCCTCCATCTTTGGGAACAGCACCCGATGAAACTCTCCCCTTGTTGAGATAGTCTGGCTCGAAAGGAGAAAGCCTTACTACTGGCAAAGCTTACTTTTTTTCTCCTCCATTGCTTGATGAATATTTTCCAGACGTACCAAAAGATGATCCACCAGGCTCTGTAAGACCTTTGACTTTTGTGAGGAAGGGTGAGTTCGATTAGCTCTCTCGCAACAAAGAGAGGAACCGAGAATTCATATGCGCTTATGTGCTGCGCTTCGATTTAGTCCTATAACCTTTAGTCGACCAACCACCTTCTCCTCCCTAGGAAAGCATTTGACTTTGAATTCCTTTCCGTCATAACCTTAACCTCTCTAGACGACCTACCTTTATCCATCAATCTCGCTCCTTGGTATGGCAGGCGTCGACTCAACGGCCTGGCCTATGCTGATGAGATCAAGAAGAGAGCATGTTCATCAAGTTCTTTTAGGCAAACTTATTCTAGGGTTCACGAGAAGATATCCCTTAGGAGGGATATAGCTTTTCTTCCGGAAGTATGAGTTTCTTAATTCCATTTTTCTGCTATTCCCATTGCACTAACCATTGATGAATAATGCGACCCTGGCGAAGGATGTCACGAGTGTTTACAATTTCTGTTGGTAGAATTTCAGGCATATGGTCAGAAGGAGGAATTATCACCGTTGACCCGGATTCCAAATCCAATCCTTTTGCTTCCTTCAGCAAGGACACATGGAACACAGGATGGATTTTAGATGTTGCCGGTAGCAGTAAACGATAAGCAACCTGGCCCACGCGTTCCACGATTGGAAACGGTCTATCAAATTTCCGAGAAAATGGATTTGGATTCTAATATCCGCGGACTGAGACCTGGCGATACGGCTGGTACTTCAAGTATACCCAATCACCCACTTGGAACTCGACATCCCTACGTTTCTTATCAGCCTGGGCTTTCATGCGTTGTTGTGCTGTATGTAGATGAGATTNTCACGTTGCTTGAGCTGAAAATCAACTGCTTCGTTGGGCGATGAATTGGGAAGGTAACGAAGAAGAGTTGGAGGCCCGTAATTCGCAAGGCTCGTTGAGACCAATGGAATGATCAAAAGAAGTGTTGGAAGAATATTCCGCCCATGGGAGAAATCGAGCCCAATTAAGTGGTTCATCCATCACAAAACACCGTAAATAAGTTTCTAATGTTCGATTGAGGCGTTCCGTCTGTCCATCCGTTTGAGGATGATATGCACTGCTCATTTTCAATTGTGTTCCACTTAATTTCGACAATTGCTGCCGCTAAGGAAAAGTTTGTCTCTATCTGATAAGATCGACCGAGGTATGCCGTGTAAGCGCACTATCTCTTTGACAAAAATTTCAGCTAGTTTGGCACTTGGAGTGCCAGGTTCATAGACAATTTGAAAATCAAACCCCTTTAGTTAGCCAATGTTGTTGCTCAGGGGTTTGAATAACTTGCTCCAGCAAGCTTTTTAAGCTCTGTCAGTGAAATGGCGCCCGAGTAAGTATTGTCTCCATTTGGAAATAGATGAGATAATCGCCATCATTTCGCGCTGATAGGTGGAAGCAGCCTGCATGGTTGGAGTCAATTTCTGACTGAAAAACGCAATAGGATGCTCCTGCTGCAATAATGTTGCGCCCATGCCTATGCCTTATTTAGGAGTNCCGTGAAGTTTGGTAGGGCTAATACTGGGGCGGAAGTTAGAGCTATCTTCAGCGCCTGAAAGGCATTAGTCGCGTCTGCTGACCATTGGAACGAGTCCTTTTTTAATAAATCGGGGGGAGTGCTTCATAAATTTTCGATAATAGCCGGCAAGACCCAAAAATCCTCGTAGAGCCTTGACAGAAGTTGGGATGGGCCAATCGGAAACGGCCTGTATCTTGGAGAAATCCATGGCAACAGTGCCATTACAAATAACATGTCCCAAATATTCAACTCTCTCTTGAGAAAAAGCACATTTTGAGGATTTAAGATCAAATTGATTATGACGCAATAACTCAAGTACAGAACGGAGATGCTCCAAGTGTATATCATGGGAGGGGCTGTACACCAAAATATCGTCAAAAAAAACAAGAACATACTTACGCAGCAGCGGACGAAACATATCATGAATAACGGCCTGAAAAGTTGAGGTTTAAAGATACGAGACTCACCCCAATATCATGGCAACCTAGCTACAAATTCGTGCTGACTACGGATGGCTTTGATCTTCAGTCTCTTCTGCCTCAACTTCTAAGACCCTCGCGGAGTTAGGTTTAACGTAGTCCTGAGGTTCGAATCCTATGCTTTCTTTGGTCTATCTCCTTTGGACCCTGGTGGTCAAAGAGTCGCCCAAGATAAATGGCCTGTTCACTGCGGGAAGCATCAAAAGTGCCAGGCTCACCATAACTAATTTGTCTTGACTCCCTCCTCTTCGCTTCTATGACTGAACTTCGCTTCGTTCCTATTGTGCGGCCCTTCCCTTGAGACTGACTTCATCTTCCCACCACGCTATAGCAGGGCTAAATCTCTGATAGGTGCTGGTGCCCTAGCTAGCAGCCTATAAGACCGGGCATGAAGTTAGCTTTCAAGCAAGGGCTACGAGTACTCGAGCAGTAAAAGCTTATAGTGGAACAGCTTATTTTGCATCAACGGCTGATTCTAGCACAAGAGCTTCTACACCAGCCTTACACTTATTTTATTGTTATTCCGAATTCCTCCTCAACTTAGGTCACTCACTCGCTTTCCAGTTGACTAATCGGGCTATTGCTTTTGTAAAGCTAGGCTCCTACTTCACTCGACCAAACAAACGAAGCGAAGCGCAGTGAAGTCATAGAAGCTGAATGTGCAGCTACTGATCTTATTATAAGATAAAGAAAATGAAACTGACTTCCTTCCCTGCAATCAGTTCCTTTGCTTATGGCAATCGCAATCCGTTCTTCCGTCCTTTCCACAGCGCTAATGCCGACTGCAAGGGCCTCCCCCGTTTCAGAAAGAGTCACCGGAACTATGCGACGTCTTATTTCCTGCTGCGATACCGACTACGGCAGGTTTGGCATCAAAAAAGACCCGGCTATTGCATTATTCGTGATCCTCTTCCAATTCCAGCCTGCTATGAAGGGCAATCACTACCATCAGCTGTCATGATCCGAATAGAATAGGTCTTATTAGATAGAAAAAAGACTAAAGAGATAGAGATGCCTTCCCAAGGTCTCTTCGGTACAGGTACGGATAGACTCCTCTTGCCCCCTTTTTCTTCCTGACAAAGACGAAACCTTCTGACAAATCTTTCAACGTCCCGGGCGAATAGTCTAGTTCTCCGCCACCAATTGGTACGTTTTGTCTTAGCTCTTGCTTAACGCCCTCTCTCTTAATGACTCTTCTTAGGGAGTAGGATCAGTTGCCTAGGAGCTCAGAGAAATATAGCGAAGTCAGATTTTTTTTTTCAAGCAAAGAGGAGGGGGGTGGCGGTCGTGCAAGCAAGCGAAGTATAATCACAAAGCCTAAACGATTATGCAACTTGCCCCCTTCAACTACTTAGACGCAGGATAGAAGATGATGGAGCAGCATACCGGAGGAAAACAGAAGTCCTAATTCGAATCAAAAAGAAAATCCAAATGGAATTCTTCGAAGAGGCATCATGTTCACTAGGTAGACAACGTTTGGAGAACGGATGACTAGAACAGATCGGTAAAGGCCTTACTATGTCAGGAATAGCGGCCTTAGAGCTTCTACTACTATCGGCTACCTAACTGTCGGGAAATTGGGGGGTTTGCCGGAGAATCGGTGTCGTGGTGGTGCTAGGAGATGGCGATTTCTCGTATAGAAGAATAGATCCGCGGACCTATTGATTAACCATATATGCGAACCGATCGACCCAACGAACGAAGCGAAGCGAAGTTCAGTCATAAAAAATCAGTCTACCGCAGTGAGGACGATGATCCTCACAAGCGCAAAGGACTTCCTGTTTCCCAAACCCGCATGCCTTAAAAGAGACCCTGGGCCAATTACTGACGAGATTCTCACTCAGGGGTTCTTTTCTTTTCTCACTCAATGGTTAGTGATCGATCAATTGGCTCTGCCTTTAAACAGCCATTTCTCTGCCCAGAGATAAACTACTCCCCTGGACGAAAGGATTTTTCATCACACCATCATTTAGTTTCCCGGTCGCTTATTCATTTTTAGCGAATTACTTGACTCGATGGATAGGGAGAGGGACATCCAACTCAATTATGCTCATTTCATGCCTCTCCCTCATCCCTATACTGGACTATGGTCCTCGGGCTCTGTCTGTATGGTCAAATCGGTTCGCTTTTGGTTGGACTCTTGGGTTCGTCGGAATTCATTCTTCTCCCTCTTTTTTCTCACTAGCGCAGCAGATTGCTATTTCTTTAGTTAGGACCGCCATTGAAGATGGTCTACGCTTTGGCACTCCTCCTTAATTAAGGAGGATGACTTCACGGATCAAGGATTTCAACGAGCGTAGTCATCCACCCGGTAGCAAAGACCAGGGAAAGCACCTAAACGGGTTTTCTGAGTCAGCTAATCGGGGAACAGGACGTCGTTACGGTACGTCTAAGGTTAAGCTATGGTTTTTTCTTATTCCTGAAGGTCATCCTCTGGGGTCAAGTTCGGGGATAGAAAGATTTGAAATAACTCTACGTTTGTCGCTAGATCCGTCCAGAGCATGCTTGGCATCGCCAACATTACCAATTTGCTCGAATCTCTTTCTATTTCTTTCATCTTCAGAAAGGTACATCCAGCATTTCGCTCCTTCTACCATACCATGATTTATTATTATATTCTTTTTTGAATTCCACTTCGAAAGAAATAAATATTAAATACTTTCTTTCTCGTCCCTTTATCGTTGGTAAAAGCTTTGGTAGCTTATCCGCAGGGATTTTGAAACCAATTAAGACTTTCAGTTGGCTGCCTTTGTTATACGATTGGGAGAATTACTCTTTGTATAAACTTTTGATTTTGATTCTATCTTATAAGCAGTTCCTATATTATCCTTCTTTTCTTGCTGGCTTACTAACTCTTGCTCTAGCTCCGATTCCTGGCAAAAGGCTGACTCATTTGATTACTTTATCCTATCACTCTTTATCCAAGGGATAAAGGCTAGGGTGACTCTATCAAGGGTTAGCTAGTTGCTTATTCGTCAGCTCTCTATGACTTCACTTCGCTTCTAAAGTTGGGAAGAGGTAATTGAGCTCGACCATAGTACGAGGAAATCGAGAAAATCTTGTTCCAGAAAGACCTGGCCTTAATTGAGGCTCAGAAACTTTTTCTTGCTACAAAGCTAGTACTATTAAGGAAGAGGCAGCCCAGGCTGGAACTGGACATGCATCGCCTTCCGTCCTCAACGGATCTCGTTAACCCTCTAATTCACAAAATAGGGACTCAGCCACTGGAAAGTCCGTAAAAAAAAACCTTCTATGCTTGAAGAAATGGCTCACTCGAGCTTGCAATAACGCAGATGATTCGAGTCAAAGTGCTTTGCCCCTTCGAAGTGGCCTGAAGGATCTTCTTTTACAATACAAAGACAAAGACGAGGGGATCGAGTAGGCCGTGGAAAGAGAATAAGTTTGTCCGACTCAACCAAGACAGGGTCTTCTTCAGTCCGCTTGGACAGCGTCAAACTATCTTCTTCAACGAAGCGCTTGACTGAAACTAGGAATGCTATAAATGGTGGAATCGTGTTGTGCAGGTTCTAGGCCTGCGTTCCTCTCTTTTTCTTCACTTCGCTTCGAAAAGTTCGTTCCCTCAATCTCACGAACAAGATCTAAGAATAACATTAGTTAATCGAAGAAGGGGGGGATTAGTCAAGCGCACTAGCTGCAATTAATTGTTGAGTGAGCTTTCCCTCTTCAACAAGCCGGTGGTGATCTCACTTTCGAAAGAGAGTCCTTTAGAAAGGGCGGTGTACACATAGCTCTATCGCATGTAGCCGATTTCGAAGACAACTATATCAAGTGTGCAGTGAGGCATCTTTCTCACTATACAATGACCGAAGGACCAACGACGATCCTGTCCTAAAAGAGAAGGAGGAGTAGGGTCCGAAGGAGAATTGAGAATCGAATGATTACGAGATAGACAATGAGAGAAAGGAGAGCACAACGACAATTCACTTTGAGTACAGGGAAGTCTGCTGGTAGGAATTCTTCAGGACGTATTACTCTTTTTCACCGAGGGGGTGGATCGAAGCGATTGCAGCGAAGAATTGATCTGAAACGAAGCACTTCGTCTATGGGCATTGTAGAAAGGATAGAATATGACCCTAATCGTTCTTCTCGAATCGCTCCAGTACGATGGAAAGGGGGGGCCCACCAGAGAAAATGCAAGACGATAGAAGAGTTCGCTCCGCCGAAAAAGAGACTCGAATCTACCACGACCACCATCCGCGGTCCATTTTCGTTCTCTTCCCTGCCCGGGAAGGTGGATCAAAGAAAGGTAGCTTGCTTCTCTCCTGGACTGATGGCGTTTTATGTAGTGGTCGGCCTTCCTACCAGAATGCCTTCTTGGTCGAAGAGCCACTTTACTAGTAAGGGCGCAGGAAGCAAAAAAACTTGCGCGAAGGACGTTTTCTTCTCTGCCTTCTCCTCTCCAAAGGCCAAGGGTCCGAAGGAGATTTCCTTCGGTAGCTCTTTTGGTTTCCCAAGGATAGCGGTAGCTGGGGCAAAGCCCGCTTTCTTCGTTTTTCGAATGAGAGAGAAAGTCAGAGGAAAAAACACGTTCTCTCTTTGCGAGATCCGAAAGTGGAGAACGCATAGCATTCTCTGGGCACATAGGATCAAACGTAAAGCAGCGCTCTCTTGGCAGAGTTTTAGGCGGCAAGAGATTTTAGGGCTTGTTGGAGCTTCTGAGCATAACGAATCGAAGCCGAAGACGGATCAAGGCTTTTATACCAAGGCGATAGACGAAGGACCGAAGAATGGAAGGTGCAAAGTCGATCGTGCACCTGTCACTTATATAATAGCCAGTCATCAATTGGAAGCGGGCAAGATGGTGATGAATTGGTCTAAGCCTCCTATTTGTTCAGGGCGGGCGGCGTGAACTCTGATTCGATCCGGGTATTCAATCGCGCCGCTGAGATGCTCAGTTGACTCCTTAACCTTGATAGGACTCTTAAACAGTATGCATCGTCTTTAATGACTGCATATGGAGGAGAGTTGAAAACGGAGGAACGAACGAAGCGAAGTGAAGTCATAGAAGCAAAGTGAAGAAAAGGCTGGAGAAGAGAAGAAGAGAAGTGAATCAAAAATGAAACGCGAACAGAGTCCTAAACTAAAAAGGAGATGTTAGAAGGAGCTAAATTAATAGGGGCCGGAGCTGCTACAATTGCTTTAGCAGGAGCTGCTGTCGGTATTGGAAACGTCTTCAGTTCTTTGATCCATTCAGTTGCCCGCAATCCATCATTAGCTAAACAATTATTTGGTTATGCCATTTTGGGCTTTGCTCTGACCGAGGCAATTGCCTTGTTCGCATTAATGATGGCCTTTTTAATCTTATTCGTCTTCTGATCTTTGATCAGAAAGAAGCTATCTTTTTGAAGGCGATAGTTCAATTGAGTATTTACTCAATTTCTTTTCTTAGTTTGATTGCAGTTCTTATTTTTGGTTGAGAAATCCTTTGATTACGGATTGATGTAGTCTGATTGATCTATCAAGTCAAGAAGACGAGGCCCCAAGGGGTGTTGGGGGAAAGAAGAGCGGGTATGCGGGCTTCTTTCAAATGTGAATAGCACTCTTTTATAGATCCGATAAAAGCTCAAAGAATCGATCTTTCATTTAGTGGTTGAATCTCTTCTTTCTTTTCTAAAACAAAAAAGAAAATGAGTTTATGTCCAGCCCCTTCGGGGCACCTAGTTGCTTTCTCCAAGTGAGTTTAGTAGCGGAGCGGGCAATTATAGCCTTTCTTGCAGAATCCAATCCATCCCAACGAAAAAGACTAGCTTCGGGCTTATCTATCCACGCTAGAAATGGAAGATTTAGAGATCGACGTTCCCACATAAAGTCATGCTTAGACGAACTTCTCGATGCACAGTCGGGGCAGGCTTCTCTGATTGGAACAATCGCTCTATTCCCTTTGCCTCTTAGGAGTCAGAGTTGCAGTGTTTGGCTTTTATGGTTGGGAAGACTTCCCAAGAGGTCCTACGTAAATGCCCGGCTGCTTCAACAATTCTTTGAAAGCTCCACAACTATGGCAGCCTTGACGCATCGAGTTCACTCATCCATGCCCTTGGGTTACCCGACCGATTGGCTTGAAGCTTTCATCTCTTGTTGAGAACTTCTGCCCATAACGAAAGGGTTTCGGTAGCACCCCACCCTCTTACGTAGCTGGTAGCGAAATCACTTTCGTGAACTTGCTTTATTCCCATATAGCAACAAAGAATCCTCCTTTCCAACTGGCTCAACCAACATGGAAGGAGAACTCGAAATGCAATTTCATAGGCTTACCTTTATTCTGCTATTGGCAAGGCTCACTCGAACTCGCTTGTTGGCTTGTTTGGTAGCTCGGTATTCTATAGTTTCATATTCAAAGTAGAAAGAAATTCCTTCTCTAACCCGCTATCAAATCAATAGCTTTAGGCGATCCTCTAAGTTTTTTCTTTATCTTTATTTACGCGGAAAATGATAATCATAAGGCATTTGGTTGGGAAAGAAACCAATTATGATATTCCTCTTTCGCCCTAGCTTTCACTCGATCGAAGACATGCAGAAAGTCTGATCTTGGGGCAGGCAGAGTCGACGAAGACGGTGCTGGTTCGACTGCTAAAAAAGGCTAGTTAGGAGCATACGGGAAAAGGTTGGGCTTCAACATTGCCTTCCATCTAGTGACGACTTAGCTACTTGTCTGAATTGAATTTCTTTATTTTATCAATAGGGAATATCGTACATAAAAAAAGCAAATGAAATAAGAATCGAATCTCAAGTCTAACCTTCCCTTTCAGCTGCCACACAAGAACGGACCTTCTTAGCTGTTCTAGAGGAACGGGTTTTTTAGTAGTTGTTAGCAGTTCGAATATCCAAGCTGGGAATTCTTTACCTTTNAAATGTGGAGCGAAGGGACTCTATTTAGAGAAGCTAGTTGACGAATAGGGGCAATTCGTAGCGATCATCAGTATGAGTTCCTTTCTATCAAAGTAGGAACGAACTAAATGCCTTCCCTTCTCTGTTAATCGAGGACTGAAAACTACACTCGAGTTTGCTCTTACGCTCACGAAAAGACTTCCCTTCTGTCTTCCGTTCACTCCTCTCCTAACGCAGGCAAGTCAAGTCCGGTATGACTCTTGTTTACGTTCCTCCTATTGTGTGTGATAGTATGATAACGTATATTAGTAAGCATTCCTCCTCTACCTTTTCATAGAGAGAGAATAACCAACTAGAAGTTTTTGATTCTCAATTACATCGACCCTGGTGATGCTCATAAAAGATCCCTGGTTGTGAAGTGGCTCTTGTTCGACAAACTCCTCTTTGTTGGTCCTGAGGATGCCAACTCGGTAAGAGATTCATTCTATGCGGGAGCCAGTATAAAGGAACGTCTATCCAAAGCGGAGAGACAAGAGAAAGAAGCAAGAACCGTACATGGAATCCTGAGTGAATGAACTTCCAAAGGGCCGGTTAAAAAATCCCTATCGCTTGTGTGCCTTTCTTTGTCCTAGCTCTAGGTCCTTTCTTGGTAGTCGCTTTGGAGCGAGCCTCCCACTTCCGACCTTCGGAAGGAATCATAGAACTACACACCAAATCAATCTTCAAACCTCGAGAAAGACTACGCGAACTGCCGAGCTAAGCATCCTCTAAGGCATCTCCTTCATCTAAAAAGGAGGTTGGTTCGACATCTTTTCTAGCCTATCTAGAAAGAAGCTTCCCCCTCGTAGGCTGATTGTACGTTAGCGGAAAATATGATGGATTAATCAATCCCGCTGACTAATTCGTATGAGTATGAGAAAGAACCCGAGGAGAGCAAAGTGATCCAACTTTAGAAGCGAAGCGCAGTGAAGTCAAAAGTATTGGCGAAGCGAAGTAAAGTCAAAAATCAGGGTCGAGTGCAGGTGAAATTGACCTAGAGAATTGATTGAAATCGTACGAGTGGGTCTTCCACTTCCGTAGTCGAACCGATAGAAGAGCAAGAGAGAAGAGCTATTCATGAATAGATGACCAAAAAGCCTATTCCGAAAGCCGGCTTGCATTGGTCACGCAGAGATTCTTTCTTTTGTAGCATTTCGCTCAAAGGGTTGAAGAGTCTTGGTCTTTGTTCGCTTTCTCGCTATTTTTTTTATAAGCAGATTGGTGTGGCATTGCGCGCAAGAGGCTCGATGTAATTGACCTCAGGTTGGAGAATGATATCAGACCATGACTTATAGAAATGCGCAGATTTGGTAGGCCCCCCGTGAATGAAAGAGAAGTCCCCTCCCCTGCAGAGCAGTTAGCGCTTTTTCCGAATCAACAATCAAAAGGAAAGTGCTCGATCGATCAAATAGGGGAGTTGCGAGCTGAGAAGTCGGGTGATCACGAATCAAACCTCCGGCACTAGTCATTCCTGACTTTAGTGGGGGGTTTATACCCTTCGTCCTGACCACATAAAAGCCCATGACTGAAGACTGCATGACGAGAGGGACTCGGAATACTCTCACCAAGCCGATTTTTACACTTCGACTTTGATTGTACCCTACTATCTTCCTTACTTACGTTGTCGCTTTCCCGGTTCTGATACCAAAAAGACGTCGCTTAGGTCAATGTAATCGAGCCTACCCACTACGCGGGAGAGGAAGTAAGGCCGATGCTGTAGCTCTTGTCGCAGCTCTTATTCTTACTGAGCGAGCGATGCGGGAATAGGAATAGCTTCTAACGTTCCTGTTGGAGATGCAAGTAAGGTAGTAGCTGCTGTCGAGGATGTTGGAGATGCGAGCACTTTTGCCGAAGCAGGAACGGTTGGCGCTGATCTTGTCGAGGCGAGAAAGGACTGAGCTCTTGTAGATGCTGGCAATGGTCAAAATGAACTCCTTCCTTTTTTAGTTAATAATAGACAAGGCTACAAACAATACAATGTATGTAAGTGGGAGTGAGTAAATTCACTCTAACGCAGAAGCACTCTTTCCGGTAAAAAGAAAAAGCACTAACTATTATAAAGTCAGGGTAAACGTTCGGATAAAAAAAAGCACCACCCCTTATCTATATCTATTCTATATCTATTAAGGGTTGATCCCTTATAGATCAACCTGGGTTTGGCCTATTCAAATTCAAAGGGTGAAGGTGCATACGAACGAAGCGAAGTTCAGTCATAAAAAGCAGGTAGATCGCAGTTGCTTCATTTTGCAGCTATATGAGATGCAACTTTCGCAATTGAAATGAGATTCGTAGAGTGAAAAGTGACTTGCTTCATTTTGCAGCTATATGAGATGAAAAAAGTGGAATTGGGCGCTTGGTCGTAGAAGGGAATTATGAAAGTCAGATTTTACAGCTATATGAAATGAAACTTTTGAAATTGAGAAGCTAGCCCTTAGGCTTGATGTAATTGACCTGTGCTGTGAGGAAGCGGAGCTGAGATCGTTTGGAATATTAGTTAAGGATGTACTTGCTGGGATTAGAATGAGACGAGATTGGGTTGGTGTTCCGTGTACCGCACCGAAGCTTGTGTAGCTTATCAATGAGATATGCTAAGAAAGCTATTTCATTCTTTGCCTTAATGATGGCATTTCTGATCTTATTTGTATTTTAGCAAACGAAGAAAAAGGACCGGACCCCAGAACTACATTAGGTCTGAGATCCCCTTCTTTGAAAAGAGGGAGAGGGATTTATGTAGGCTGTAGCCATTCAAAAAACGTAATGGTTACTCGACCAAAGCCGGTCAAAGAATCGATTAGTAGTATGCCAGAAGAGAAGTAAACTGAAATTGAAATTGCGTTTCGTAAGGAAAAGAGATCCTTCGTTGTTCGTACTTTGACTGAGCGGTAGGACTTTCTTTTGGTAGTCAACTAACTGATAGTGCTTTTCCCTCCCTTTCACAAGCTTGGTTAGCAAAGTACGATTCTCATTGGCCACCAGCCCAGCCTCGATCTACGGGCATTCATCTCCATAGCCCTTTTTCTTTAGCAGTAAAGGCCGGCTGGCCGAGGTCGAGTTCCTCCCTTATTGAGAATCTATATGGCTTTGGTCGTCTCTATTATTTGATTTTTCAATAGCCAAAAACTTTTATTTTCAGGTCTGCGAGAGGTCAATGTACTAGGGCTCATGCCCAAACAAATAGGGGCTTTCTTTTCTCTTGTCGTGCATGCGCCCCTCATGCTTTGGGAGCCGTTTTATGGCAAGACGGCTGAGTGGTCGCGTACTACAGTGAGGTGAGATGTTCAATACAGCCGTCTTAAACTATACCACGAGAAGGAGATGTACACAATAGTGCTGGCTGTGAAAGACTGGAGGCACTATTTGCTCGGGAAGGAGGCGCTTTACGAATAGGCCACTTTGATCAACAAGCCCCTTCAGTATCTACGGAAGCAGTCCAAGCTTGAGGAGGCGCGTCATATGAAGTGAGTCTCAGTTCCTGCAATGGTTCGAGTTGGTGATCCAGTACAAGAAAAGAAGGGCTAACGACGGTTGCAGATTTTCTGTCCAGACCCCTTTTTTATGTTATTAGTAAAGCGCAGCAACTGCTGTTTCTACCACTTTTTTTTGACTTCATGGACTTTACGGCAGAGTATGTCGGGCAAAGAAAGGCGTCTCGCGGTCCTTCATGACGCCAGAGTTGGATTACACTTTTGAGTAGATCAAACTCTGGCTAACCTGGAAAGACATTCTTTTTGGCCCAAGATAGAAGCAGATGTCCAACGGTGATGAGTTGTGTGTGCTCTATGCAGCACGTCGAAGCCGTCCAACAGGAAGTTGGGGCTTTATCAGCCCAATACCTTCCTGTCCATGCGAAAGGCATAACCATAGATTTCGTAGGACGATTGCCCTATCTCTTAAAGGGGGGAATAACTACGTTTTTGTCGTAGTCGACCTTTCAGATTTAGTAAGATGGCCATTTTGTACCAGGTTGATTCGCTGGCCGAATTCTGCTTCAAAAATGTAGTGGTCTACTGCTGTCTTTTTTAAAAAAAAATATGCTGCAATCTTCAATCATCGTTCATCGAGCGCTTTCTCTCATCTGCCTTCTATATATATATTGTGGTCGTTAACGGGAGCAAATGAAGAGGAGTTTTATACCCCGCACCTCCTCTTTCTTAAAGGCTAATCAAAGTCAAAGCGGTCAGCTTATTTGGTTGGAATGGGTCACCAATAGAACCGTCGGTTCAAATGTTGAGAATCTAAGATCGGGACCACATTTAAGGTTACCCGGTCTGGGAAAACAAACCCGCCGTTCATTCAATACTGCTACAACCGGAGCACGCATTCGTCGACCGGCCGAAGTGCTTTTTCAGTTTGTTATGCGTTCCAACCAAAGGCCCCCATTTACTTGGTAGCATACGGTTCGGACGATGGTTGTGTCCTGAACCCAGTCAGCGGCACATCTCCGTCAGATGCGGCTGAACAGCTGCGAGCCGTTAGTTTCCTGGAGAACGCCGGTACCACCGGCAGGTTGCTGATATGAAGGAGAAAGCCCCCGGTCCCGACGGATTCAATGCCCACTTTTGTCAGGTCTGTTGGGGAATCATCGCACATAATGTGTGCAAAGCTGTATCGAACTTCTTTCGAAGTGGAAAACAGTTCAAATGGGTCAACTCAACTTTCCTTGAGCTGATCCCTAAGAGTGATAACCCAGAGGTGTCTTTGAGGCTATCTCATTGTGCAACGTGCTTGTAAAGAAAATCTACAAAATTTTGGCGAATCGACTTAGGGAAATGCTTGATGAGTTGGTGGGTGCCCATCAGTCGGCTTTCATTAAAGGCAGGAACATCAGTGAAAACATTCTTCTGGCTCACGGGCTGGTCCGTAACTTTCATAGAGACAAAGGAACTCCTTTGTTTTGCGCCAAGTTCGATATTCGCAAGGCGTACGACTCCGTTCCTTGGAATGCTGTCCTCAATACCCACCCTTGAATCCTTGAAGTGAAATTTCATTTAGGTAAGATGGATTAGATAATGTATCTCCATAGTGTCATTTGCAGTTATGATTAACGGATCTCCATCTAGCTTCTTCCGGGGGGCCGCGGTTTGAGACAGGTCTCTTAGAGCCTATCTTTTCACCCGGAAATATTCAGCCCGCTTTTTTTTTAACAGGGAAGTAAACAACAACCGGATCACCCATTCAAGAAGATTTCAAAAAGTCTATGTTTATCATATAATATATGCTGATGATGTGCTCATTTTCGGAGATAGCTCCGTGCGTAATGCGTTGGCCATCAACCAAGTGCTTAATTAGTTTTCACAGCTGGTCAGGTCTTGGGATTAAGAAAGCTAAATGCTCTCTATCATTCTCGGCCATCCGGGCGAAAAATCATTCGTACTCTTGGCTTCCGTGAGGCGCTGCTCTCTCTCAAATACCGGGGATTGCCCCTAGTATCTACCAGATTGAGACACTCTGACTGTCTCCCCCTCTTGGACAAGTTCAATCGCCGAATTAGCAATTGGAAAAGAAGGCTGCTGTCATATGCCGGAAGAATGGAGCTCATCTCCTCAGTGCTTGTAAGCCTTCACATCTATTGGTCGTCCGCTTTCAGGCTTCCGGAGAAGATCTTGAAATCCATTTCATTGAGCATTCGATCTTTCTTTGGGTCAGACCCCGAACCCACCTATAAGATCCATACGATCAGCTGGTCCAATGTAGTGTAGACCGAAGGATAAAGGTGGATTGGGTTTAATAACTATTGAGGGCTGGGCTGGAATAGGACTTCCATTTGCATTTTCTGGAGATCCGTTAATGATAATGGGTCTATTTGGACTCAATGGGTTAATTTTATATATCTCAGGAGACATTCTATTTGGGTGTCTAATCTTCTATCCGACTGCTCTTAGTCTTGGAGGAGTGTCGGTAAAGGAAAATGTGGCTAATGCTAGAAAGTGTCAGATTTTGAATGGCGAAAGCACAAAAAGCTGTGGCATTGTCCGTGGCTTAGAAATGGCCCGATCAGCTACAGGTACGAGGGCACTGTTATAAAGGAAAGAAAGAGGTCTCCTGGACCATGCTCTAGTAAGCGATTTTATAATGGGCATTGGGACTTTCCTCCTAGCCGCAGAATGGCTAGACAGTGTCTAATGCAAGAGATTGCCCTGTATGAACTCCCTGTTGAAGACAGGATCGTTTGTTCTCTAAGCCCAGATGGAAAGTCCAAAACAGCCTGGAACCGGAACCTCATCTGGCAGACCTATCCTAAGGTCTACTATGCAGGCACAGGCATCGTTCGGAACTAATTGACCAATAAGAGGAAAAACTCTTGCACGCTCTTTAACCAACCTCAACAGGGGAGAACTCAACTACCCTTGCAGACAACTAAGAACAGATCAAGGACCATTGGTGTATAGGCCGTAAAAGCCAAAGACCGATCTACTTCCCGATGGCGAATAGCTAGTAGCCCTTCGGAGTATCCCGGATCGGCACTCAATATCATACCCAATGAAAAACCGAACCTTCTTTTACTACTCCTTTCTAGAGAGATAGGCAATAAAGAGAAATCGTTTGCCCTAATGATGACATCGGCTATTGGAGTGACGCCGAGGCAGAGGGAAAATGGATCTGTGCCTGAGTCAACTCATCCGGATTCTGAGCGTTCTTCGGACCATAGAAAAAACTCAACTCTATTCTCGCGGAGCTTTAGTTTAGAGTTTAGCACCGCGGGCGGAGCATAAGGCTTCCAATCGCTCTCTGTCTATTCCCGTGACAGTGAGACGCACTTGTTTTTGTATGGATCTTACTAGCGAAAAGGCACTTTTTTCTTCTTTCCAATTCTATTTCGTTGAAAACATCTTTCACTTGAAAGCGATCGATCTCGATTGAGTTGACAAGTCATCGCCAGCTTTTATTATTTCAATAATCTATTCCATCAGCCAAGCATAGATAAAAAGATATACGCGCTTCTCCTTCATAAAAGAGCGCTCCGACCGTCAAGCATCTTCTCTCCTCTCCTCTGTCAAGAATCAATAATATCTTTAAGTTAAAACAATAATAAAAAGACTAAGGAAGATAAACTATTCGTTATAACATAGAGTCAGAAGTGGGAATAAAGTGTTCCTAGTAGATATTATAATAACTAAAATAAGACTTCAGAGTAGAATTTAGAAGAATAATAAGAATAAGGAAGTATAAGAAGAGGAAGAAGTATTAAGAATCAGGAGATGGATGTAATCCATCGAAGAAGAACAGGTGCTCAAGCACCGATAAAATACTGGTCGAAGACCAGGAAGAGAAGAAGGGGCGGTCGATAAATCACCTTTGAATGTGGTCGATAGCACTCTCTCTCAACGCAATCCCCTAAATTATGAAAGGGGCACGGCCAATCCCCTTCTTTAGATGCCCTTGGCTCTACCCCGGACCTGTGAAAGAACGATTAGACAGCTACGGCTAGATCGAGTGACTCCGAAATCCAGGTGTTAAATAACCATTGCCAGTTCAGATTATCTCCCCGTTCAACATCCGAAAGTAGATGCCAATACGCACGCCATTTCAAACCAATATACAGCTGCTTACAGGCCAAGACAAGAGATTTCCAAGAGTAGGACCTTTTGTACAGAATTTTCAACAAAGGCTCTGTTAAGACCAACCTTGTATTTAGCCTTGAGAAATCGTACCTTTGCCCTTTTAATACCCACGGAGCGGTAAGCTTTGAGGTTCAGTCATAAACCTCCGTCTTTTGCATGCTATCTTTACTGGGTATACTAAGTATAGGTATAGCTACTAACAGACCAGCTGATCGATCAGCTCTGTAAACGCCTGCCTGTTCACCGTCCTCTCACTTTCTATAGTATGGTAAAGCCTTTGAGGCCTTTGGAGATATATTCCGCGACTAAATACTCGTTGTATATATAAGGCGCTCCTCTACCGGAAAAAAGATCTCTGAGAGTTGTTTCCTGAATCCGAAAGAGAGTACTTGGGTTCTCCTAATAACTCAAAAGTGTAGCATGCCTGAATCTAACTGGGGTTCGCGGTGGTGGAGGAACTGGATCGGAAAAAGGAGGGATTCTAGTTGTAAGATATCTAATGAAACCGTCGCTGGAATTGAGATCTTATTCAAAGAGAAAGATATTAAATATCTGGAGTTTCTTTTTGTATATTATATGGATGATCCGATCCGCAAGGACCGTGATTGGGAATTGTTTGATCTTCTCTGAGGAAGAGGCTAAATAGAATCAACTTGAATTCGGGACCGCTATTCGAAATCTTAGTGAAAGACTGGATTTCTTATCTCATGTCTGCTTTTCGTGAAAAAAGACCAATTCCTCTCCTCTCCTTTCAGTCGAGTGAAGCGTACGAACGAAGCAAAGCGAAGTTCAGTCATAGAGGAAGGAATACCTTTATATACTAATATGATGGCTGGTCGTAGTTCTATTTTTCCTTTGAATTTCTCATATATATCCTATGAATTTCATTTCGCACCGGAAACTCTTCTAGGAGAAGTTCGAATCCGTTCCGTTCGGATATTGATTGGTCTTGGTTTGACATGGTTTACGCGTTACTGGTTCCCGGAAGAGTTAATATCTCCATTAGCTAAACCCTTTCTTACCTTGCCTTTTGACTCGTATTTTGTTCGTACACAATCAACGGAGGCCTTCCCGACATATGTTGCAACGTCTTCAATAGCATGTTCTTACTTCGTTTTTCCCCTAATAAGTCATCAAATTTGGTCCTTTTTGATCCCCAGTTGCTATGGGGAACAAAGGAGGAAATACAATCGATTCCTCCATTTAAGTGGTTCTCGCTTCTCCTTGTTCCTGTTCCTAACTCTTCCCCGGGTAGTTCCCAATGTTTGGCACTTTCCATACTTCATGGGTGAAACATCAACAAATTCGCTCATGATCAAGTTACAACCTAAGATCTATGACCATATTATGTTAACTGTTCGTATTTCGTTCATTCCATCGGTATGCTCCCAGGTACCTGTAATTGTGATCCGTTTGCTAGAACCAAGGGGTCTTTCTGTAGAAACTTCCACGAACAATCGTCGTTTTTTGATGGTTTTTCCGCTTCTCACAGCTGCTCTTTCCACACCTCCGGATATCTGGTGCCAAATTCTCGCCCCTTTCCTTATTTCTTTGATAATAGAGTTGGCTATCTTTGTGGCATCGATTGTACAAGTTCGTGAAGAGGGCTGGACGAGTTCCATGAGGAGAGCAAAGTGAGACTTGACGCTAGTTTGACTTCACTTCGCTTCGTTCGTTGGGTCGACAAAGTTGAGTTGAGATCGACAAAAAAGAAGAGTAGCCCCCTAGAACCTCGCAAAGTCATTATCAATGAATTCCAGAGCAATTCTCAACCGAGATTCATTCCCGTAAAGATTATAACACACAGAAGACTACTTACCGCTCTATTGTTGATTAGGGGGGAGCGGGATGAGTGATACATCCGGCGAGCGCCGGTGAAGAACGCAAGCAAAGCTGGAGCTCGGGTATTGATATATTCCATCAAGAGAAAGGAGGCAGACTGGTAAGAAGGCCGACCAGGAGCGAACCGAAAAACTCAGCTTTTCGGAGCGGACCAATCTTCCGTACCGCTCCCCTTACTCTCTCTCTATCCTGCGGGAAGCGCGAAGAGCTAAGCCACTAATGTCGTGGCGAAGGTTATACCTCAGAAAGTAAGCGAAGCTAAGATTTCGTCAATGTAATCGAGCCTTTCGATCGAGTGACAACTTCCTTTCCTTCATTGCCCTTTCTTTGACAAAAGTAAAAACTGGTTCGATGTAACCTTTCCTTCACTTCGCTTCGCTTCGTTCGTACACTGCGCTTCGCTTCGTTTGTTGAGTCTCACTTTGCTCTCCTCTATTTGATGTCGATTCATCCACACTTCCATTCAAAGTAGAGGAAGGCTAACTGCTTGCTGGCTGGGAGCTGTATGAGCGGTAA